CTCTCTCTCTCTCTCTCTCTCTCCCTCTGGATTTAATGAGGACATGGTTCGAGGACCAAATGGCCAAATTGTTTTATCAGATGATAAAAATAAATCCCGGCAGTGAAACGTGAGTAAACGCTTCGTCTCTGTTTCACTGAGTCTCCAGCTTGTAACGTCATCATCCTCGTCCCATCAGCTCGACACTGAGCTGCTTCACGTTGATACTGAGCCCAGACACGTCTGCAGAGATCAGATTCAATCACAGTTTACTGACCTTGTTCGCTGCTTTCAGCAGATCCTGCAGATTGAATCGGTTTCTTCTGTCACTTTTCTCACTTTAACGACACTAAACAAACCATCTGCTGTCGATGACCTCGTCAGACGTCTGATACTGACGAGAGAGATCGACTCAGCGCGGCGTGACGTCATCAGTTTAAAATGACAACGATAGAAAACACCTGAGAATCTAAAACCAATGAAATGATCATTTTTGCTCGAACTCTGATTTGTTGTAAAAATTGAAGATGAAATATCTGCTGTAGTGTCGACAATGAGCCTCAGAGGGATTTATCAATCTCTAGGTGTGTGTGTGCGTGTGTGTGTGTGTGTGTGTGTGTGTGCACGTGTGTGTGTGTGTGTGTAACAGGAAGTGGAGAGGACACAGCTCAGTAATCCAACACTCAGCTCGACTGAACCTCGTGTGTCTCTCATGTTTTCTCCATCTGGACTTTGTGTTGAACTGTTGAACAGAAGCAGTTGCTCTGACGACCACAGCCGACGTCTCTCTGAGAATGATTGATCAGAGGTTGATGACATCACTCTGCTGATGAGCGGCTTTAATCAACCAGCGGGAGCGTCTCTCTCTCTCTCTCTCAGGAGACGTAATCAGGCTCCTCCTCCTCTTCGCTGCAGACTCCCGCCTTCACGTCTGTTAAACCGGCTCCAGACATACAGCCGGCAGGTTTTAACCAGATTACACTAACACAACAAAGTGTTCCCGCCAACTCCGCCTGCGTGTTTGACACGACTCTGTTGTGGAAAGTTGTGTAAAGACATTATTTACGCTCGGAAGAGCGGAAGTGCCGACATGACTGAGAGGAAGAGTTTCAGAAGTTCACGTCTCACTCTTCCTCTTCATTTCAGCACAGACACAAACTAGTTAATTTATATATATATATAATATAGCTGTTTTAAAACTAAAACTCAGATTCTACTGAAGTGTTTCTGACACACACACACTCTCACACACACACACACACACTCACTCACTCACCTTCGCTCTCTGTGGTTCTGTTGTCTCGACCAAACACTTGCAGCTTTATACCACTCGAGAAAAGAGCTGTTGTTTTTAGACCTGGTGACTGTGCCTCTGTTTTCATTTCACACACACACACACACACACACACACACACACACACTACACAGGTAGACAACAGTGATTTGTGCGTTGTGCGCTGCAGACTGGTCTCCTGTTGTGTTCTCATGAATAGTTGCCTGTTCGCTCTGTGTGTGTAAACACGGCACCTTAATCACAACCAATTATCTGACTCACGCTCACACTCGTGTCTCGTTGAACCAAACATTTGTTTCTCCAGGTCCAGGCGGGAGCTGCCGTTCATAAAGCAGAGGTGTGTTTCCTGAATCAGGCTTTTGTCAAACATCGTTAATCACAGTGTGACGCCTGTGTCAATACTGAACCTTACACTGGTTTCCTCTGTTACATTGAATAAATCTAAAAAGCTTTTATTCCTGCTTCTGTCAGTAAAGAGCAGAGACGTGCTCCTTTTCGTTTCTCTGCTGCAGCTGATCAATCAGCGTCGGAGGCTTCGGTTGTTTGTCACTCAGGCTGTTTCCTTTGTGTTCAGGATCAGGAGTCAGCAAATACCTGATTCCACAGGTCACAACAGACGAGGACACATTTAATATCAGTTATCTAGTTTTCACATATCGCCACCTCGTGTTTCAAACCGCCTCGGACCAACACTTATTTAGAATCGACAGTTTTGGACGTCTCTGTGTCATTAAATATAAATATATGAAGAAGTCACAGCCTCTGCTTCAGACCACATGTCTCCCGTCTGCTCCCAGCACAGCGTCCTCAGCAGCGGCTCCATCTGTTGATGTGTCAAATCAAGACTCTGGACCAAAGTGATGGACGTCATCGTCATATCACAGTCATAGAGACACTGTCACTGAGCAGCAGCTGTAAAGTTAAAATATTAACGTGTGTGTGTGTGTGTGTGTGTTTTCAGGTGAGCTGTCGCTGCCGGCCCATGTGAGCCCATACACGAAGGTTCCCGAGGATTCAATGGAGAGCAGGGAGGACGCTTACATCAAGCTGGAGCTGCGGACACTGGAACAGGCGCTGCTCGCCACATGCGTGGGCAGCATCTCAGAGCTCAGTAAGTGTGTGTGTGTGTGTGTGTGTGTTTGTCGCCACAGTCGACTCCTGTGTCTGGTGTGTGTTTGTTTAACGGTGTCGGACTCCTGGGACACATCGTTAGCCACTGCCTGCCCCCCCCCCCGGTTACATAACAGCATGTGGCTTGTATCCAGAAAACAAGGCGCCCTCACACCCTGCAGGCCACCGTACCTCATTATGTGAGCGCTCGTTAATCTCTGCTCCGTCACTGCTCACGGACCTGACGACTTGATCACGTGACCACAGAGAACTTTAACTCTTTACTAAAGAGTGAGTTCACGTCATGTTACTTTGATATTTGGTTTAAATTCTATTTTTTTATAATATTGACATCTTCACAGGAAGTCTTGTGTTCAGACGATGTGTTTGGCTCCAGGCTTCACGTGCACACGTTTGTTTTCTATGTTAAATATCAACAAAGTAGAATGAGTAGCCGGTGGTTGTGCTCCTCCACCGTCACTCTGCTCACATTTGTTCCCAGATTCATGTGAGGTCACTGTGAACTTTGACCTGGACACATTTGTAAGAAAGACGGACAAAGAAATAATGTTCAAAAGGACAAAAACGTGATTTGTGAGGCCGCCGTGTTTGTGTAAATGAAACTTGTCCAAACCGTGACGATGGTGATGTTTTGTGCCCGTGTGCAGGTGATCTCGTGTCTCGAGCGATGCACCACATGCAGCGTCTGCGCAGCTCCAGCCTCCACATGAGCCCCGCCCGTTCAGCCAATCAGACGTCGGTGTCCTGGGCCCCTGATGCCCTCCGAACGCTCTACTACTTCCTGTCCAGCCCACACATGGAATCACTGGAGAATCCCAACCTGGATCCTCCGAGCACGACGCTGACCAGAGAGAGGTGTGTGTGCACGTGTGTGTGTGTGTGTGTGTTGTAATATGTAATAGTTCTTCAAAACAGAATTTTAAAATGTTTTCAAAAACTGAAGACGAGTGAAACAGACAAAAGAAAACTTTAATAAAAACAAACGAAACGTTCGCCGACTCCTCGTCTTCAGGCCGTTCCTGCTCCTGCCTCCTCTCATGGAGTGGATCAGAGTCGCCGTGGTGCACGCCGAACATCGCCGCAGCCTTTTGGTGGACAGCGATGATGTCAGACAGACGGCCAGGCAGCTTCTTCCAGGACTGGACTGTGAGCCCAGACAGCTGAGGTGAGCGGTCGCAGGATGAGACTGAGTGTGTGTGTGTGTG